ATAAGTTCTCTGACTTCACAGAAGGGCACATGCACTTTAGAAAGCTACCTTTATTTCACCCGTACTCCTTTCTGAGAAAGACCCACTTAACTAATTGTGTTGAGGACAGTGTGAATATGAACCAGAAAGAAAAATTTCAGGATGAGTGTGACATTTTCCAGATTTGCAATTTTCTATATGGTCTTGGAATTATAGTGATGATAGGAAAGTTTAGCTCATATTTTCCAAAGGATCAACATTTATATGGAGAAATGATAGAGTGGTCCACAGGAAGCATACAGGTGGTTCTGACCTAACTGTACTGATTTTCATTACTCTGCAGTAGTACTGTCAATTGGTCCATTTTTGTTTCTTTGTAACTTAGTGAAATAAAATAGTCAGAGTAGAAAAATCTATTTCTACCCAATGTTTCTGCTTTTCACATTTGATATGACATTTGTTTAATTTATTCAGGATTTCTGACATGAATGCAGTAAATTTTCATCATTAAAGTATATTCTTCTGGTTTTAATATAAATATAAAGCTGGTTCTTACCACTCTTTGATATTATTTACAGGAAAGTGAACAATATTCTCCTGGTAATGCTATGATTCCTACACAGTGAATTTCCTCTTTTCTACTGAACTTTTGAGAGAGATATTGAAAGATGATGCTAATTGTAAGGGATAAGTATTTAAACATACCAAATCATTAATTTTCATTAAATAATTTGGCTTAAGCCTTTTTAAAACTGGCACTAAGTTGCTAACTTTTCTATACATATGTTTACATAAAATTTTCATGATCCATTTAGATACCTTATCAAATACAATCTGATTTTTTTTCTGTATTTCTTTTATGAGGGTATGGGTGCTGTGGCTGCATGTATTGCTTGCAACACTGAAATGCATGCTGCACATAGATGACAGAACAATAATTTGGCTCTCTGGGAACTGGAGACAGTTTAGTACCACACATATTGTATACTAGACTTCAAACTTGAGCCCTGTTCATTAGCAGCAATTGTTGAGGACAGCTGAACCATTTTTCTAGCCCTGAGGTTTACTCTGTTAAAAAAACAAAAAAAGAGTTACTCACCAAACTACATCTATAATTACTAAAACCACAAACTGGAAAACAGACTTGTGATGAATTTTGGTTTAATTTGAAGTAGGAAGATCCCCTTGCTATCCAGATACTTGGTAAGAAGATATACCTAATACCTGGAAGTGGTGGGTGATTCACAACTTTAATCCCAGCATTCAGGAGGCAGAAGGACATGGATCTCTGAGTTCAAGCCCAGTCAGTCCAAAAGGACAAGTTATAGAACAGCCAGAACTATAAAGAGACACTTGCCTCTAAAAACAAACTAAAATGAATAAATAAATAAAAATAGAAAAAAATAGAAATTCATGCTTTTATTTGAGACCTTTAAGCTGGGAAACAATACATCTTTCATCTGGATCTTAAGTTGAAAAGACACAAATTAATCCAACTCATTTTATTTTAGAAATCCCATCTATAATCTGGAATTCACCCTCTATTGGAAGCATAAAGAACAACATAGAAAAAGGAAAGTTATGATCTTTCTTTGGTCTCACATTGCTAACTGTAGGAGGAGGTTCCATCTGTTTGTCCAGGCCACCAAGTGAGCTTAGCCCCAAAATAACCTGACAGAAACTGTATTAATGCAATCACTGCTTGGCCCATTAGCTATAACTTCTTATTGGCTAACATTTCCATATTAGTTTAATCCATTTGTATTGATCTGTGTTTCTTCATGAGGTTGTGGCCTACCAGCAAAGTCTCAGCACATAAATCCCCAGTGGCAGGTCCATGGAGAGTCTCTACTCTGCCTTTCTTTCTCCCAGCATTCAGTTCTGTCTCCTCACCTACCTAAGTTCTGCCCTATCAACAGGTTCAAAGAAGTTTCTTTATTAACCAATAAAAGGAACGAAAAGACAAAAGGACCTCTTATACCATTTCTCCTTTTCTGTTTAAACAAAAATGAAGGGTTAATTTTATCATAGTAAAATTATATACAACAAAACAGTTATCAATCAAGAATTATAGTATAATATTTATATCTATTTTATCTTTTACCATAACTAAGAAAAACTATAACTATAACTTTCTATCTATTCTTTAATCCCATCAATGACTCCAAAATGATATAATGTTACCTATGTAAACTGGACATGTATTGTTAGCAACTTCCAAATCTCTTGAACTGACAGAGACATTTCACTACCTGGAAAGTCACCTAAAGTTCTTTTTTACCATTGGGGCATCAATGTTCAGCCTACAAGCCCATAGTATCTGGCAGACTTTTCCATGAAGCAGGAAATTCCAAAGAAGGTCCAGTCACTGTCTTCTGTATCCTGCAGAATGTTTTGTAGACTCTTTCATGAAGCAGGAACACTGAAGGATCACCTAATGTTTAGGCAAGTTCATCAGTCATTTCTCTGCAGGAACTGCATGTCCAGTATAGCAGTTCAGGCAAGAGCAGTTTCTTGCCCAAATGGCTAACCAAATCTGTAAGGAGCCTCTTCAATTCCCATCATTCTCTTGAAGTCGGTTGGTTCTGCCAGGAGCAGATGCGTCTCACTGTCATGAAAAGTCCTAAACTTTTAAAACATTTTAATTGCCATATTCTGAAGGTCTATGAAAGATTTGAAGAATACCTAACTAACTGAAATATATCTCTATATATTTAGAAAATCTAACTGACATGACTAAAATCTTGAGTTTTATTGATGACTCTCTATTAACCTATATTTCTTAATTATACATTACAGTTTTAAATGAACTACACAATCACAATACTTTAATCAAGAGCAGAAATATACATATAACAAGATTGACCTTAAATTTGTATCAATAAACCAAGATCCAGACCAAGGAAAATTATTCATATCTCTATCATATTGCTCTTTAAATGTAAAATAACATATATAAACATTATTTGGGAATATGGGCAGAGTTTTGTCCATACTGCTTCCTGATGTTTGGGGGTCTGTTAATGACGTCTTTCATGGTGTATCCTGTGTGCTAGGTTCATCTCAGTTGGCAGTTGGGTGAGTTAATTTTTTGAGGGTGTACATGGTGAACTTTCAAGGAGACATGGTCTGTCAAATTATATTTATCTAGAAGCAATCCACAAGTTCTCATCTTCTGTGAAACAAAAGAAAAACCTCTTTTCCAAAGCATCATATCCTTAGACTCAAATATTGGAATCAAGATAACTTTAGAACTTATATGCTGGTTTAGCTTAGCAGCCCATACAATGAAATATCTCTCTGTACTTAGCTCCTTAACAGTCAAAACATTCAAAGAAAACACAATATACATAATCCAGACTCTGTGAATTTTCCATTTTTATGTGGCTTATTTTTCTTTATTCTTTTTAATCTATGACTATCTGTACTCTGTTTCTTTAAAGACTTTTTAAAAATGATTTATTTCTTTTCCAATGCTCTATACTCTTTTTCTTCTCTCTCCCAAGCTTACATACATATATTGAACACTGTGACACATTTACAGGTCTTTTATGTCTGAATCAGTCCTATTGTGAATCTGTAATTCTTTACTGTCCAGGAGTACTTCATAAAAACTTAAGTTGTGCCATTAGTAGGGGTAATACAGCACCACCTGTTTGCCTACCCATTCTAAAACTTAAGCTGTGCTATTATTTTGATAAATATAGTAGTTCCTGCTCTCTCTGCACAGTCCATCATGGCAGAGTCACTCGTGCTTCTAGCTGTTTGTGCTTCTGACCTGAGCCCAATTCCCCAATTCCAGGCACACAGGGAGTCCATGCTGCCATCAAGCAAGCCGCAACACTCTGCTCACAAACCCAACTCAAATGCTTTGTAGCCAGACCTCCTGACAGAGTCAGAGGTCACATTGGCAGCCTAGCCCAGAAAACCTGCTTTTCAAAATAGCACAGCTTTTTTCTTCTGCTGCTGCTGAGATAGGAAAATATCTCTTAAAGGAGCCGTAGCACACCTCCAGCAAAGAGCAAGCTGTGTTAAGAATTCCTTTCAAGCCTTCTCAAGTTTTACATGGATGCAGTTGACCACGTTGGAAAGCCAATTGTAAGAGGAGGTCCTGCTTTTTTATCCCAGCCATCCAGCTTGCAGAGCCCCAAAATAACTGTGCAGAATCTATATTAATTAAATCACTGCTTGCCCCATAAGCTCTAACTTCTTATTGGGTAACTCTTACATATTAGTTTAACCCATTTCTATTGATCTGTGTATCACTACGAGGCCGTGGCCTACCAGCAAAGTCTCAGCATGTCTATCTCCAGTGGTGGGTCCATGGTGATTCTCTACTCTTCTCTTCTTTCTCCCAGCATTAAGTTCAGTCTCCACACCTACCTAAGTTCTGCCATAACAACATGTCCAAAGAAGTTTCTTTATTAACCAATGAAAGCATCACAAATACAGAAGGACCTCCTAAACCAGCTAACAAGTCCATTCCTTCATTGACATTATAACCTAGTTATTTAAAAATCTTAAGCATAGATCCTTAAAGAATGGTGTTTGCTATCTTTTTCTGCTTGATTTCTCATATAGTTCTGCCTAGGATCAGAAATACTCACAGTAGACTGGGCACTCCTGCAACAATGTCTTGTTAATAAATGTATTATAAATATGACAACAGCCTAGTACATCAGAGAACTTTTAGTTAACATTCCCTCTAAATTTTATTGTACTTTGTATAAAGTTGAAAAAAATTAACTAGAAAAGCAAGTTTGCAAGCTCCATATTGTTTGAACAGAGCAAATAACCCATTTTTATTTCTAAATCTCTAGCATTTTGAAGCTATTCAACTTTATTTCAATTTGTTTCCACACATTCATATAATTGATAATATATAATATACTAAGTGAAATATGGATACTTATTTGGTATATATAAAATAAATTTATTGATATTTAAACATGCTCATATAGTATAATTATGGAAGGATTGGGTAAAAGTCCTAATATCAGCATTTGTCCAATTTTCTTCAGATGCCTTTCTCTGTGTGTAGTGCTGATTGTGGTCCTGATATCAGAAGATTATGGCAGGAAGAAGTGGCAGCCTGCAGCTTTGATTGTAGTCCCAGCCTAGCAAATGACATTTCTAGTGACATAGGTGAAAGTTTGCTTCTGAGATAAATTCTTCACATCATGTGTCTTGGTAATCCACATGTGTTTGATCAAATGATTGAAAAGTCCAATTCACAAATAAAATATATCAAACACTTGCATTAGCTATTATAAGAATGTGATCAATAACAATGCCCCTTTAAGTATCACCATATGCTAGGACATACATATTTAACTCATTGGCATTCATGGCATATGTCATTTTCTCAAAGAAACAGTTTTGATAATCAAACTACAATATAAGAAAATTCTATGTATGGTCTATCCTAGTAAATAATCTCCTGTAAAACTACATGTAGATTAGATTCCATTCAAAAATATTTAGTAATATTTATTTTATTTGCATGTATATTTGCCTCCCTACATAAGTTTATAGGCACCATGTATGTGAAGGAACCCAGGAGAACACAATATTGCATCAAATCTGCTGAATTCATGTTACATGCATGCTTCAAACAAAATGCAAGCCCTCTGTAAGATTAATGAGGATGGGAATAATTACTTATAAATTCACCAGAAATTCTTTATTATGAGACTGAAAACTTCAAGCAATATCCAGAGTTCACCTTTTCTAAGAATCAATCAGAGTTATAATTTAGGAAAGTGTGGATAAGTGTTGACACATGATGCACAAAAGAGAAGTCCTGTATTCAGCATGTTTATATATGTCACACAGTTAATATTGTCACAATTATAAGGATAAAATGGTTTTACATGAGAGCAACTAGCCACAACTATCTAAATGGTATTGTCATCACACCCCTTACTACTCAAATCATTATTTGAGTATGTTTAGGGTTGGTTACATCAAAATGACAAACAGATTTTTTTTATTCTACTGCCCTTCATCAGATACACTGATATGAGAGTCCATATACGATATGTGTGGTCAGTAAGATGGCACAGCAATTAAATCTCTTGTTCCTGAAGCTAATGATGAGTTCATTACCAGGATACATATTGTAGGCTGTGATAGCAAGCCCCTGGAAGTAGTCTTTGACCTCCATTCATTCTTAAATACACATAAACCAAATTAATTAAACAAGGTCTAATTAAATTGTTTTAATTGTAAAAGCATGTAAGAGTCAAGGGTATTTACAATGATAAGTATAACAAAAATTTGACTTTAATTATGTGTATGTATGTGACATGGGTGGTTATATGTGTACATAATTGCAGGTACATGTGAGAGGCAGCCAGTGTCTCTGTAGTTGCAGTCTAAGTCAGTTGTGAGACACCTGATATGGATGCTGGGGACTGAATGTGGGTCTTCCTCAAGAGAAATACATTCTCTTCAAAACTAAGCCATTTTTCCAATTCCTTAAGCAGAATAACTAATTACATGTGTACATAAATACATTGTTCTAGATATAAAGACAAAATCTAGATGTAAATCATGACTCTCTGCAATTATCCATTGATTTAGGGCAATTGCAATCATGCTTCTGTATCATGGATTTTAATTGGTATTAATAATAAAAACCCCTAAACAGATATTGGAGTTAAAGCTGAAGATCAGAGAAACAAAGTGGTCAGTCACTAGAGCGTTTTCACCTCTACCAATGCTCAGACTGGAAAGGTGATCCTGTCCTCAGACTGTTTCTCTAGACGGCATCTGTGTCCATCAAACCTCAGACTGCAATGATCTCTGGTCTCCTCCTGCCTTATATTCCTCTCTCTACCCATTTATATCAAACCTATCTCCACCTCCATGTGCTGGTATTAAATGCTTTTGATCTCAGTGCTGCAGTCACCTTTGTGTGAGCTCTGTTTCTCTTAGATTCAATCTTGTGTTGCCCAGGGTGGCCTTGAACTAGCAGAGAACACTTTGCCTTTCTCTTCCAAATCCTGGGATTAAAGCTGTGTGCTACCACTCCCTGGCCTCCAATAGCTTAGTTCTGCATTCTTGTCTTTAGGCAATCTTTATTTGTTAAAACAAAAATAAAATTTCATTATACATTTCCTTCACTAGCCATAGTGGAGATTACAATTTGTAAATGGAATACACAAATCCTCAAAGTAAATCTTTGTTGCTCCACCAATGCTTGAGAGTCCTTGCATTATCATGTTCATTGTTTTATATGAATATCTACTTTACTTTTGACAATACTCACAGAATCTGGGTATCACAGAGATGGATTAAGGAAGGAGGAAAATGCTTGTTTCTTCACAAAAAAGCTGCAATCAAGCTGTAGGGATATAGTGCTAATCAAATACAAAAGTATCTACCTTCATTAATAGGGTTAATGGTTCTTATGAATAAAATTCAGAAGTACAGCTTTTCTACTGCCAGAAATGGCACAAGTGGGGGCATTTAATTTATTTAAAGAGTTTTGCATTTTCACACAACAAAATTATATTTATGTAACTTTCTTCTCTCATTTTCACCATTCTACTTCCAGAATATAAATCCATTCACTCTCATATTCTTGAGTTCTTTTGGTATTTTACATGTTCACACACACATAAATACACAAACAAACACAGACATTCATCTTAATGATATTCAGGGGAATCTGGCCAGCCTGAGCATGGCATGTATGTCTCTAGCAGGCTGTGCACTTCTCCTCTTCTTCCTCATTCCTTTAGAAACTATTAGATTATGCAACCATAATCCATGGGAAGTGGTATATTAAGAGATGTAGCCTTGTTGGAGAACATGTGGTCTTGTTGGAAAAAGAATGTCCCTGCAGAGACAGAGTGAGTTCTCATATATGCTTAAACTACACCCAGAGAGTCAGTTTACTTCCTTTCCTATTGATCAAAAATTGAGAATTCTAAAATCCTTCCATAGGACAATATCTGCCTAAATACCACTATGTCTCACCACAATGATAATGGACTGAACCTTTGAAGAATGAGACACACAATTTAGTATTTTCCTTGATAATAGTTTCCAAGGTCATGGTTTCTCTTCATAGTAATAGAAATTGTATATCTAAAGCTAGCCCCATCAATGGAGAAAACAAGATATTCCATGATAAAAGCAGATTTAAACACTACTTATCCATAAACCCAGCCTTACAGGAAATACTAGAAGGAAAACCTCAACCCAAGGAACCCAACAACACCCACAATAGCACAGACATCTGACAACCCTCTACCAATACAACTCAAAGAAGGGAAACACACAAACACTACCACCAAAAAAATAACTGGAGTTAACATCCACTGGTCATTAATATTGCTTAATATCAATGGACTCAATTCACCTATTAAAAAAGGCACAGGTTAAGAGAATAGATACAAAAACAGGATCCAACATTCTGCTGTTTACAAGAAACACTCCTCAACCTTAAGACAACACTATCTCAGAGTAAAGGGTTGGGAAAAGTTTTTCCAGGCAAATGGATCTAAGAAACAAGTGGGTGTGGCTATCCTAATATCTAACAAAATTGATTTCAAAATAACGTCAGTCAGAAGAGATGGACACTTTATACTCACAACAGGAACAATTCATCAAGATGAAGTCTCAATCCTGAATATCTATGCCCCTAATATAAAAGCACCTACATATGTAAAAGAAACATTACTTGAACTCAAATCACACATCAAACCCCACACACTTTAATAGTAGATTTCAACACTTGTCTCTCACCAATGAACAGGTCAACCAAACAGAAAGTTAACAGAGAAATAAGAAAACTAACAGATGGGACAAGACCAGTTCAGGTAACCTCTCCTCTACTGCCCAAGGACCTAGCTTGGGACATCCCCGTGGATACCTGGGAACCCTTCTAGAGCCAAGTCTCTTGCCAACCCTAAAATGGCTCCCTTAATTAAGATATCTTCTTCCCTGCTCCCTGCTGGCCCTGTCTCATAGTCACACTGATAAATATCTTGAATATCACCATAGAACCTTCATCCGGAAACAGATGGAGATAGAGACAGAGACCAACATCAGAGCACTGGACTGAGCTCCCAAGGCCCAGATGAAGAGCAGAAGGAGGGAGAACATGAGCAAGGAAATCAGGACCGCAAGGGATGTGTCCACCCACGGAGACAGGGTGGGGGGACTGATTTAATGGGAGTTCACCAAGGCCAGCTGGTCTGGGACTGACTGAACATGGGATCAACCCAGACTCTCTGAATGTGGCTGACAATGGGGGCTGACTGAGAAGCCAATGATAATGACACTGAGATTTGATTCTACTGCATGTATTGGCTTTTTGGGATCCGAGTTTGTTTGGATGCACACCTTCCTAAGCCTGGATGGAGCGGGGAGGGCACTGGACTTCCCACAGGGCAGGATACCCTGCCCTCTCTTAGGACTGGAGGGGGTGGGGAAAGAGTGAGTCAGGGAAAGGGAGGGAAATTGGAGGGAGGGAGGAGGTAGAAATTTTGAATGGTATTATTTACAAAGCAATAAAAAAAGAGAAAAACCTAACAGATGTAATGAATCAAATGGACTTAACAGACATCTATAGAACATTCCACACTTGTGTAGAATTCGGTCACAATGTTGTATGACTGTCAAAACTGTTTCTTTGAGAAAAGGCCGGCTAATACAGACTTTCAATGATTCAAAGATGTATGTCATGGTATGAAGCACAATTAGTAAAAACTCAGGGTCAGAAACTGGAGTTCAACCTGAAGATCTAAAAGCAAAACACCCAGGCACTGGCTCTTACCTCAACCTCTGTCTGAAATGGCAATCCAGCCTCCTGGAATCTAGGAAAGAGTCTGTGTCTGAGAGCTGTCTCCTCCCCGCTTTTTATATTTCCCTCTAGGTTTGGGGTTGAAGGCAAGCAACACTGGTATAAAGGCATGCAACCTGATTTCTATATTAACCAGAGTTAACCAGGATTAAAGGTGTTCCCCCCCCCATAATCTCTTCTATAGGGCTGAAAAGTAAAACTGTTTTACCTTCAGATCTTCAAGCAGTCTTTATTAAAGTACAATTGAAATGCCTCTACATTTCTCCCTTTTGTCAAAAAAATAATAAAAAGAAGGCTGTAATTAATATAAGAAAACAATATACAATAAGCACAATGACTATATATAATATATACAGGGAAGAAATATATCCACAATATCGAGTCCATTTGCATTTGACATATTGAGAAAACAGATTTTATATGTAGCCTATCTTCGTAAGTCCAAAGGCTTATACCTAATTTACTATCTATCAATGACTTACTTTTGCCGCAAAGAA